TTTATGATACCAAATATTAAGTATCATTAGATTCTTCATTAAATATATTTTCATAATATATCTATTTGATGTCATAAATATTTATATTTCTCTTTATAATTTTAGTTAGACTTGAGATACTTTGACTCTACAAGATTTTTATGGGCATGCTCGCTTGAGCCTTTTCGGCTGTTTGGCCTGCAACTGTACAGCCCAGCTACTAGGACTGTGGCCCAAGCATCTGCAGCAGCCCAGCTCAGCCCATCGGCTGCGCCTCTAATCCGGTTGCATTGCATCCCGCAAGTGAGTCCAGTAGTCTAGGGTTTGGAGACGGCTGTCATCCCTCGCCTAGCGCATGGGGCCGGACGTCCGGACGCTAGTTTTATCCATAAATTAATTTTATTCCTAATCAAAGATATATTAACAATTTAGTGATGGGAGTATTTATTTATAGGAAAGAATCTAGAGTTCAAAGAGCAGTAATATTATATTTATTATTTTATTTTTATTTATAGAAAAATTTAGAGTTCAAAGAGCTATAATATTACATTTATTATTTATTTTTTATGTTTATATAGAAAAATCAGGAGAAAGAAAAAGAACCAAAACGGAACCGATGAATAAAATAGAAAGAAAAAAATCGTGGGTGGCTAGGCTAGCGTTTCCATGGTTGGTTGAACGTTGTTCACGAAAACCCACTTGGATGGGTGGTTAATGGAATTTTTTATAGCAGAAATACGTAAACGGTAGCCGAGTCGATGTCTGGACGAAAGATTTTGTGGCAGAAATTTTGTCTCTTTATTAATAGGTATAGATATTTTAGAGGGTCAAATATTCATTTATTGTTATCATATTTATAATTAAAAAATTAAATTTTTCAAATGACCTCAGGTGTTTTTTTTTAGAGGCTCAAATATTCCGCTGATTGTGAGCGTGCAGCAATTGCTTGGAGCCGAATTCCTGCTGCAACACTTAGGCCTTATTTAGTTCCTCCGCCTAAAGTTTAGTCCCTATCACATCAGATGTTTGACATATATATGAAATATTAAATATAGACTAAAAAATAACTAATTGCACAGATTGTAACTACTCTGCGAGACGAATTTTTTAAGCCTAATTAGTCTATGATTTGATAATATGATGCTACAGTAACACATGTGCTAATGACGAATTAATTAGGCTTAATAAATCCGTCTCACGAACTATAATTTATTTTATTATTATTATCCGAACACTCCCACGTAACATCCTTATGTGACACCCCTAAACTTTAGTCCCTGAATTTAAACACCACCTTATCTGTTGTCTTGCTAGGCGGAATTTATGCGTGCATTTGCATGATTGCATCAGCTGCCAACAAATGCTAGATTTCGTTGGCGAATGTTTGTGTAGTTCTCTTTTCTTTTTCTTTGAATCGGTGAACACCATCTCTTCTCTCTAGGATGTCCCTATTATTACGTTTTCAGCATGTACCAGATGTTTGCCACGCTGATTCCAACCGATCGAGGCAACCATCCCCTGACTTTTTTTCAGTGTGAAAATCCATAAAAAATAATTTAAATAATTATTTAGTTCTTCAAGAAGAGTTTTTCATGTCTGGACGTGCCTTCCCCTTACCTTTTAAATTGGGTGCGTTCAAATTAGGCCTCTCTCGGCGGTATCGTCTAGCTAAAAAAAAATCACGACGCAGCACGTTAGGTGAAGATGCCGCTCTGTCCGCTTCGCCTTCCCGGCAGCTCGTCGATCGCAGCAGCACACGTCACGTCTACACGGCGCCACGATATATGGCGCTTGCACCCTATCTGTACCTCTGCTACCAAGTACCTAGTAGTAACCTAACGACTAGCTAGTCAACAAGCTCTAGCTAGCGCACAACAATGGTGTCCTCGGTGGCCGTTGCGCTCCTAGTCGCCTTCCTCACGCCGGTCGTCGTTTACTTGTTCACAAGGCCCCCCAACAAGAAGCCGTTGCCGCCCAACCTGCCCCCAGGCTCACTGGGCCTGCCGATGATCGGGCAGAGCCTGGGCCTGCTGCGCGCGATGCGGAGCAACACCGGCGAGCGGTGGCTGCGTGACCGTGTCAACCGGTATGGCCCCGTTTCGAAGCTGTCGCTGTTCGGCGCCCCGACGGTGTTCGTGACGGGCCCCGCCGCGAACAAGCTCGTGTTCGCGAGTGACGCGCTGGCGCCGAAGCAGCCCCGGTGCCTGCCGCTCATCCTGGGCCGCCGCAACATCCTCGAGCTCGTCGGCGACGACTACCGCCGCGTCCGCGGCGCCATGATGCAGTTCCTCAAGCCCGACATGCTGCGGCGGTACGTGGGCACGATCGACGACGAGGTGGCGCGGCACCTGGACGCGCGGTGGGCGGGGCGCCGCACCGTCGCCGTGCTACCGCTGATGAAGCTGCTCACGTTCGACATCATCGCGACGCTGCTCTTCGGCCTGGAGCGCGGCGCCGTCAGGGAGCGGCTCGCCGCGGCGTTCGCCGACATGCTGGAGGGGATGTGGTCCGTGCCGCTGGACCTGCCCTTCACGACGTTCCGCAAGAGCCTCAGGGCGAGCGCGCAGGCGCGGCGGGTGCTCGAGGCGACGCTCGCGGAGAAGAGGGCCAGGCTGGAGCGCGGCGAGGCGTCGCCCGCGGACGACCTCGTGAGCTGCCTCGCCAGCCTGCGCGCCGAGGACGGCGGCGGCGGCGGGGGCGAGCGGCTGCTGACGGACGAGGAGATCGTGGATAACGCCATGGTCGTCCTCGTCGCCGGCCACGACACGTCGTCAGTGCTCATGACCTTCATGATCCGCCACCTCGCGGGTGATCCCGCAACCCTCGCCGCCATGGTTCAAGGTAATCGTCAAGAAAGAACCCACAGCTATCTATTCTATGGCCTATAATAAACAAATCAAATGCTCGTGACCATGGATGGATGTCTCGTGCATGCAGAGCACGACGAGATCGCCAAGAACAAGGCCGACGGCGAGGCACTGACATGGGAGGACCTGCACGGCATGAGGTTCACATGGCGCGTGGCCCTGGAGACGCTGCGGATGATCCCTCCCGTCTTCGGCAGCTTCCGGCGGGCGCTGGAGGACATCGAGTTCGACGGCTACTGCATCCCCAAGGGGTGGCAGGTGTTCTGGGCGTCCAGCGTGACGCACATGGACCCCAGCATATTCCTGGACCCTGACAAGTTCAAGCCATCCCGGTTCGAGAGCCAGGCGCCGCCCTACTCGTTCGTGGCGTTCGGCGGCGGGCAGAGGCTGTGCGCCGGGATCGAGTTCGCCAGGGTGGAGACGCTGGTGACCATGCACCACCTGCTGAGGCGCTTCAGGTGGAGGCTCTGCTGCGAGGACAAGGACAACACATTCGTCAGGGACCCAATGCCATCGCCGCAGAACGGGCTACCCATCGTGCTCGAGAGCAGAGACATGGCTTCTCCAAGCAAGAGCGCGTGCTGACTTTGAACGTGCGGAGCCTCAGTACTTTGATCCCAACCAAGATGTTCATGGTTCACCTCACATGTGTATGTAGGTCCCAAAATACCTTAGAATGTCGGGTCGGTTTTTGTTAAAACGTACTAAAAAAACTCTGGTTTTACCGGAAGCAAGCTTTTCTTTAGTTTTGCATCCAAAAAAGGTTTTGACGAAGAACTTTGCTATTTATCTGTTGACAGATTTATTCGTGTTAAATCTGTCAGATTTATGTGCATTGGATTACGGTTTAAGATTCGTGTTCCCATTGAATTTACGCTTTAAGATACATGTTCCCATTGTGCTAAATCTGTTTGTGCGTTATTGGATTTTTGTTCTGGATACCCGTTAAGTGATTTTTGTTTAGTTTTGTGGAATTTGATAGATTTGTTGATACATCTATCTTTCAGATTTTGTGACGAACTGATAAGTTAAAAAGCCCAACAGTTTTGGCTGCACAAATCTGTCAACAGATGGATAAACAGTCCCTTTGATGAAACATGTATCGGTGGATCTGGTTTTAACGGAAAACTGCTGGCACAAATAGGCTTCTCGACCTCTATTTCTCCTCCCGTCCCACCACCCTGATAACGCCAATGACATCGCTGTCGCCTCACCTCCATACCCATGCGCCCACACCATCACTGACGGTCTACCTTGCTTCTCTCTCCCTCGAAGCCAGCAGCGACAAAAGCATCTCCGCCGGAATCGAACCGCGCCGTTGCTAACCTCGCCAAAAAAAATTCCTTGTTTTACAAATTTCGAATAGGGCATACCAACACCGCAAGTTGCAGTCATGAACCACAATTGTAGGCCCCAACACCACCATACAAAGTGCATAACAATGTTCAGAAACAAATTCACCTGCCTCATAGATTTCACAAGTCACGACTCACAGCTGGCCGCATGCATACTTCTACAGAAAGAGTCGATGCTTTGGGAGATACCTGGCCTCAAAATCAGTTCAGTGTTAAGGCCTCCATCATATGGGCAGTATGCAGGGCCCTGCTATATGTCAAGTGCCTGAAATTTTGCATCTAATCAAGCAATGATTCTCGTTCATTGGATCTAAATCAGATGACTTTGGAGCTTCTTCCTTCGTTTGTTTCCTTTAGCTGTCAGCTGCATTTGGTTTTGAGTTTTCAGGCGCCTGCACTATAGGAAGCGTGGGGCAATATATCCAAATGCGTAGCATCTGCTTCTACATACAAGTGTTGCCTGAGACAGTTTATTTTAGCCAATAAAAAATATAATGCTACTCGTTTTGAATTCTATGTGTAACTAATGGTCTAATGCACCATAATGAAACCACAGACCACCATGAGGTGAGAAGGTTTTACAATATAACTGGAGAATCAAACTATGAATTATGAAAGACTTTCAATGAAGGTGAGACAATATCAACATCATATTTCCCTATACAACCAATCCATTTCAACACAGTGCCACTTCCACTACACCCAATATAATATCCCTAATACTAATAGCAACAGGCCAGACAAGAACAAGAGGAACAAACAAATGAAATTGATCCATATGTCGACAATCAATGTAACCCTAATTGATAAGTTGCTGAAGGTCGATGCGCCAGGATGAAGCTAGCTGCTTCATTATCTGCATGGGTGTCGCACCCTCCCAGTCATCAGGCAGCTCAATCGCTGTAGCATCATGAAGTCCCAGTAAGAGGTCCTGCTTTGCATCTAGAGGTATTCCGAGATAATCAGCGCCGTTTTCCATTACCAGATCAGTTAACTGCAACACATGGACATATCTTTTGGTGAGATTTCTAGTTCAGAGTCAAGCTTTCAGCTCAGAAATGAAAACCAGACAATGCCAGACATTTGAGTACAAGAAAGGAAATAATATGTGCCAGGGCTTATCTTTGCAAACAGTTATTTGTCTAACATACTCTAATGTTTCATGTTTATAGATTACATACAACCATCTATCCAGCTTAATCAACCATGTCAGGGCATACAGAGATTATAGTAATGCATTGGTTTCACCTGTGAATTGAAACAGCTGGATTAGTTCAACCTACACAAGCATGCAAGCGCATACCTGCTGTCCAGGTGGAAACCATAATTATCATTGGGCAAACAAAGGAGAACATAAAAACAAGTTTCACCTAATAAGAACCCATCTGTTCGACAAAGAAAGCATCAAATATCCATCACATACTTCACTACAGTTTCCCCTTCAACCTTGAGCAATCCAGTAAAACTGATGGGCCTTCATTCTAGACCAAATGAAAAGCCAGGATTCTGTTTGAGGGCAGAAGGACCAAAAGTCAATCAATATAAGTTCAATGCTCTATCCAAATGAATTTTTACCAAGATATGTCTCTAATGCTTCAATACTTTAATTCACCAGCTTAAATCAACAAAATAATTCGCCCTATCTGCCATTGCTTGGCTCTCTCATTCTCTCAAAAAAGGAGCCATTATTTCAAAACATAACTGTTCAAAATGATTTCTCTTCATAGCTTGTTAGTCAGCCATGTCGTTGAACTTCTACTGTTTGGAGCGTTTATTGCAACAATAATGTTTGTGCAGCTGTTTCTGCATTCTTGTGTAGTTGTGTGTGAATCTATCTATATATTATATTTTTATAAACCCCACTATATATCTTATATTTTTAAACCCCACTAGAAGTTCTATCTTAACATGCAAGCTATCCACATCATTTCTCACTAACTATCCACATCATCTCTCGCTAATGCCAAGTCAGCCCACTAACTTTCAACCTAATGCAAGCCATCCACATCACCTCCACTAAATGTAATTGTTATCAATACATAAGAAATATACATATTGTTATTTGTTTTGTTGTTCCACCATCTTATAGTTTGATCTAATTCTTTTATTTTTTTTATTGCCATGCCCAATTTGATAAGAATCGATACAACATGTAGATCTAACTCATGCATGCAACGATTTTATTTTTAAGAAAATCCAACAGCAACGTGCAGGGCATGCTTCTAGTTAATGTAATATGCACAGACGGGTGCTTTGGCTGAAGGATGCTGAACATTTTGTCCTAACAGTAATGCTAATCGACTGGAGGTAATCACTGGAATCCCAAACATTACTTGTCAGACATGCCATTCTCCTAATACTAAATTGGATTTACTATCAAAGCACCAGTGACAAAAGGTACTTAAGTAAATGCACACTAAATTGCCGCACCATAGTCTTACAATGAAAGTGAATCATTAATTAATTCAGCCCAGTTCCGAGGAGTATAATGGTTGAAAGTTCAAATTTTCATGATATAATTCATCAATGATAACATCAATACATTCCTGCAAAGGAATATAGTGGATTACCTGCTGAAGCCAGTTTAATGCTACATCATAGAAGCTTTCTTCCACGAGAAACTGCCCCACTGCATGTAGGACTTCATTTGCAACCTCATTTGAAAGTTGATCAACAACCGGTCCAGTTTGCTCCATCAACTTTACAAGTAATTCAGCGTCACCAGTTGAAAGAACCTCAGCATAAGCAGAGTCCATATCATCAAGATGAACAGCATCCATCGCGCGAGTCCAGGCCTCCCAAAGTGGGCCTCTTTCATCCCCTTGGTTGTCATCATTCAAAGCTTCTCCATCCAGTTCAGGAATAGCAACTCTTGTAGCGGCTCTTGAATTTCCATTATCTTCACCGGCCACTCTAATAGCTTCCAGTGTTGCCTCATCTTTTGAGGCCCGCCATGCACTTCGGGCAGAAGGACCCTCACCGAACCTAAAGGGTCCCTGCCCTTTGTCCCAACCTCTCCGAGGACCCGCTTGATCATTACTCCGTTCATTTCTTGCCATCCTATTGTCAGATGAAACAGAATCTAATCCTATCCTCACATTCATACCGCTTCTTGATCCAGAATAAGCATACGAGTCCCATGGTTCAGAATCTGGTCTCCAAGATGGGTTTTTCGTACCAGAAGCCATACCATCTGCAGAGAAATACCTTTCTGCAAATCCCATCCGTCCATCACCACTCCTTCCAAATTTTGAATTAGAATATTCATGGAAACCATTGTATTTAGATGATCTGCCAGGAGATGAATCAAAGCCCAGCGCTGGACCACCACCTCTCCTGCCTGACGAGAGTGATATTTCCCTAGCCATTTCCTCAACAACTCTCTCAAGACCACGTACTCTGTTCTCCAAAGTAACCATGCTGTCATGAGATCCTCCCATGAAATCCTGAAAGTTGAAAAACAAGCGATGTTCAGTAGTTGGCCAACAATATGTCTAGTAAGTTCAAATTTGTCCACAGAATCAGCATGCAATCATACACCTCTCAGCCGCTTTAGTCTCATTTGCAATGTACATAAAAAAGTTGAGTATACCTAAAGGAAGCAGGAAGCTACAACACGTATGAATCATGCAACAAATTAATCAAGTGAAGTACCACATCAGGTGGGCACAAAGCAGTCAACTTTCTTTCCAAATATGTAGAAAGTTATTTTAAAATAACAAATAAACTAGGTAGCAGAGCTCCACGAGCTGAGTAAGAGTAAGCCTAAGGCTTGGGCAACCTCAAGTTCAAGCTTGAGAGCCTGAGGTCAGCTCTATAGAAGCATGAATAAGCTCAAGCTCAGCTCAATAAGGACAGAAGCTTGTATTATTGCATGTTTTTCAGTTAATTACACATTAGAGTACTCTTGAACTCAATAAGGCTCCAGAACTCTATGGATGCACGTACAAATATATCTTATAAGCTCAATGCTCACTAGGATAATAAAACTATTGTAATTTTGTTGCTTGATGGTAATGAAATTCTGTTTTGACCGTAGTGGAAAAAAAATGCTCACTAGGATAGGCATACATTAATATGCCATACGCCCATACGTATATCTTCAGGCCTAATTTGGCCAACCTCAAGAGAGCTCAACAAAGCCCAAGATCAATATCAATAAGTATTTGATCCCAAGGAAGACTTAAAAATTAAAATCTCATCTTAATTGGGCAGGCTCAAGCCTAGATAAATGCTTGTCGGGCCCAAGCTTTCAGTATTTGGCATAAATGTAAAGCTTGCTCACTTGTGCTGTTGTGTAGTGAGATAACTCTAGCCTCTGTATGATGGCTAAGGGAAAAAAAAAACTGACATCAAAAGGTGGTCAATGCTGACAACAACATAGCTTCATGACAAGAGTTATAATTTCACCTACATAGTTCAATGAGTTGAGAAAAGTCTTATTTGCAGAGTCTTAATAGTTAGCGCTCCTGGCATTAGTTCCTCGTCACCAATCAGGAAGTCAAATTGTGATATCCATTTGTAGATTCTTTTTTTCGTAGCAGCAAACAGGAAATGGAACTTCAAACATTAAAGAAATAACGACAAACTAACCTGCAACATGTTCATGAGACTAGTTTGCTGTCTCTCCAAGTGTGACAATTGCCTCTGTATTGCTAACCAATTTGTTTTATTATTTATGAATGGGCCTTCTCCAGGAATGTTCATGGTTGCAGAAGTGGAATCTTTTGTGCTGGGTTCACCCCTATCTTCAACATCAGCTGTCCTAGCTTTTGTATCTTTGTTTCTATTTCCCCTTTGGCCAGCCCATTTATCCCGAATATTTTGAAAGTTAGAGCTAGCACGCATTTGAGTTAGATTTGCTTCATCTTCAGCTGATCCATTGCTGTCAGCTGGACCAACAGGATCATCATCTTCTTCTGTTTCACCTTCGCTTCGTAAGTGGGATTGAAGAGTCTTGCGAGGGACTACAACCTCAACTGCCAAGTCATCTGTTTTCCTTGTCTCAAGCTTTTGGAAAAACTCAGGGTTCAGTTCCCTGTCAGTTAATGTTGGTCTTTTCTTCAAAAGAACCGCTGCCTTTTCAGCTATGCTACTGCCCTTCACGTTGTTACTAGGTGAATCCGGAGAGGAATCATCGAAGGATTCTGATTTTCCACCTCTTTGCATTGACCTTCTTAAGTCCAGTTTCCCTTCACCATCAGCTAGATCCTTATTTCTACCATCTGCTGCATGGAAATTGTTCTACATTAAGTATGGAATAGTAAAAACCCCAACGATATAGTAGAATTGGTTAACAAACAAACATTACCATTTGCATCTTCTCCAGTCAACTTTTTCCACAACTGTACTGCATCAATCATGCTATCTCTGACAGGCCTTACCTGTGAGAAGAATATGATGACTATGACTATGACATATGAATACAAAAGTATGTATATTGTGGTCATCTGAAAAGGTTTCATGAGCAGCAAGAGGGCCTCAAACATAGATGGAGCGCAAAGAATTCTAGGTTACCTTATCAAAACGGCAAGCTTCGAGAGCAGCAATGGTGGGAGCAGTTCCATCACCTATCAAGTGACCAGAATGGGTAGCAAAGACACATAATGTATCAGCAGCTGCTTTTCTAGTAGCCCAATCGCTGTTCTCAAGGCAGTCACGGATACTTTGCAGAGTCTGCTGCATATTCTGGGAACTGATTGCTCCCACCTGAAACGTGAGATATGAACAGATACTCAAATTATGAAGCCCAATAACCATGGTGATAAGCACAACGAACCAATAATAGCATTGATGGAAATATTGTCATGATAAAACTACATGACGCTCCTGAATCATGATAATACTACCTAAATCTCCTGTAGGTTTAGCACTGAAATCTTATATGAATATAACCGACAAAACTCAAAGAGGTGAGCGGGAACCTTATTACCTTAACCTTACACTCATGATCCATGTTATCGTAATAGATGAATCGTGTAGAAGTAATAATAAAACAAAAGCCACAAGTACAGTCCAACCTACCAAGCTACATGCTACTGTAAATCAAAAGTCTAAAAAACATTTAGAAAATATTTGAAACACTCAAACACGCTCCAATACTGTAAATCAAAAGACTAATGCACAACCACCATCCAATAGATAGACAAAATGATTGTCTTCTACTGTCTCAGATAATACATGAAATAAAACAGGAAAAAACATTTCAATTGAAACTCTAGTATATACCAGCCATATCTCTATGTCTCATAATCCATGGTGAAACTATATGTATTGAGAGAGAGGAGAGAGAGACGTCATTACAAGGTCAATTAAGCTCTTATTTATGGACCTCAAAAAATCACAACAATATTGATATTTTCCATTCTGCATCAAGTCAAACAGAAACAAGTAAACCCAGGCACTTTGTTCTCCGGGAAGACATCAAGCATTGAACTTCCACATTCACTCTATCAGGAATCACATTGTGATCACAGTTCTTATGCTTTACAATCCTATCTCCATTTGCCATTCTCAGTAATGATTCAACAGCAGTTTGAAAACTTACAAGTGCCACCCCTATACTTTTCTGTGAGATACACAAGCCACAGTACCACAAAGCAGGAGTGAACCCGCTCGTCGCTCGAAGCCCTAACCTGAGTAGAGGATAACATTCATAGCCCCACACTGCAAGTAATCTAGGAGTACCAAACAGCAAATTCTTGACCTGCTCCCTGCAGACCAAAACCTTACCTGTATTTTTCATACCTAATAAAGTTATCAGGAAATGCACAGGCCACAACCAAAATAATATTATGATTCAAACTAAGAACATAAGACTTCAAAATAATCCCTGCCCCAGTCTAGGATAAAATTCCTGCCTAAAATACAACATGACCAATAATTAACAAGGCCTTCTAATATCTGGTGTTCCTTGAGTAAAATCATGGAACAAAAGGCACGCACAGCAAAATTTAGAAAGGGAGCACCCACCTGCGCCAAACTTCCCATGACGCCGAGCAATGACGCCTTGGCTTGCACGCCCTGCCCACCGAGCAACTTGCAAATCCTAGGACCGAGCTTCCCAAACATGCCGATGGCACCGGGCCCAGGCCCCGCCCCTTCCACCGCCTTGGCCAAGCATGCGGCCGCCCCACCCTGCACCGCTTTGCTCTGCTCCCCCATCACCTCGAACAGCGGCTTCACGAACAGCGTCACGGTCGCATTGCCCGCCTCGGCAACGCCGGAAGCGGACAGAGGGCGGAGGTACACTGCCGCAAGCTGGCCCGCGACGTCTCGGCACGCGTCGCGGACGGAGGTGTCGGACGCCGGGTCCTTGAGCCGCCGCGCGAGGTGAGCGAGCACCTTGTGGAGGTGCGGCGCGGCGGCGTCCAGGTGCGACGCGCAGAGCGTGGCGAGGAGGCGCAGCGACTCGCGCCTCGCCGGTGAGGCAAACCCCGGGGAGTCGGATGCCAGCGCGTTGAGCAGCATGGGCACGGCGTCGGTCGACGGCGGCGCGCGGATGATGCGTTCCAGCTCCTCGACGGCGATGTGATGCGTGTCGCGGTCCGAGAGCTTGGCGAGCGCGGCGAGCACGCGCGACTTGAGCTCCGCCATCGCCGCGTTCTTCGACGGCGCCGCGGCAGCGGCGGCCGACGACGGCGGCGGAGGCGCCGCCCCACCGCCAGCCGACGCGGCGCTGGAGCCGGGGTTCGGCGGCGGCGGCGGCGGCGGCGGCTGGGCTGTGGTGGGCGACCTAGGGTGGGATTTGACGGCGGATTTGGAGAGCGCGGTCGCCATTGCGGTGGGAATCTGGAGTATGCGAGTGGGTCGAGAGGGAGGAGTGGGAATGGCGAGGTCAGATTTGAATTGGTGGGTGCGGGGTTTGGGTGCCAATCTGGGGCATTTGGTGGCGAATTTGAGGTCGATTTGGTGGGATTTGTTGGGAGCGGAGATGAGATTGGTTGGGGGAGAGGAGTCGGCGAAGACGGGGTTCGAGATTCTTTGTTGGCTGATGAGAAGAGGAGGGAGGGCAGATGGCAGTGGGGGGGAGAGAGAAAGAGAGAACTATGAGGGAGTGAGGGTCCACTAAAGTAGAAACAGAGTACAGTAACAGCTGGGGATCTTGGACCCAGTTGGCAGGGGCTCTGTCAAGCTATTTTCTCAATTTCTCACTGACCATGTAATAGGTACTCGCTCCATAGGAAAAAAGAACGTAAATCTCGTTGTCGAGGAGTCAGATTCTTAATTTTAATTAAATATATAGAAAGTTAATATTAATGATATGTAATAAGTATTACTAACAAATATGCTCGTGCGTTGCAACGAGGATGTATACGTTACCGTCGTTAGATCAACATACAATAAATAATTTAATCCGTATAACTTTGATATCAAGTTTTTTTGGATCATGCTTGTGTATGCATATGTACACCAGTTGACTTGTAACTGTTATCCACCATAGGCATATAAACTTGTGCCTGTCGATACATGGCTAGGCGGATCTGGAGCTAGTACTTTCTCGTGTCTGCCCACGGTAGCGGTGCAACTCATATGTCATGGTAGATTGGAGTTTGACACAGATAGCAAGTCAACTCCATATGTCATGATAGATTAGTGGTACGGAGTAGGTTTATACGCACAAGATTATTTTAATTTGGGAAGCAAATAAACCAGTGATGGAAATTAACATATTCGCTTACTTTCTACTTTTATACTAGGATGATTTTCAATCCGTTTCGATCCGTATCAGATACGGATACTCCCTGGATACGTATTTATTCCGTACTATGGATTTTGGATACGTACGGACTGGAAATGCGTATACACGTTTCTTTGAGTGGAGGATATGCGTATACACGTATGAGGTGAGTTTGGATACGACCCAAGTAACAAAAAACACCCTTAAAGCCCAACTAAGGATAGCACACGCATCTACCATGCATCAAAGTCCGTGACCTACCCGGCTAGCCGCAATACGCTCGGACTTCCATCTCCTGCCGTGCAGTTTGCAACTTCGCTCGATGCCCGACTTCTAGGCTCCTGGAGCGACCGGCAACCAACAGCACCGCAGAAAAAGGAGTTTTATATCGCTTTTTACTTCTATTTGAGTAGGATTCTTATTCATGCTACTCAAGGAAGGCTCGTACGACAGCCTGTAGCATCGGGGAGGCAAGACGGAATTGGACACGGATGGATGAGCCGGACAAAAAAAAATTAAGGGAGAAATTTTGCCTCTTTATTATTAGGTATATATTAGATTAATTATGAAATATATTTTTACAATAAATCTAATTAGATATCTAAATGTCGATAATATCTTCTATAAATTTAGTCAAACTTAAGATTATTTGACTCCTCGTGAAGCGAGATTTATATTTTTTTTGGATGGAGGTAGTAATTTTGAATTATATTTCTCGGTACATGCTAGTACTATATATGATTTTGCATTTAAGATGTACCATGTATTTTATTTTGTGCATGGTCAACTATTATGGACCAAAGTCTAACATGATCTTTATTCCTTGCACTTCTATTCCAATTCCCTAATCCCTCATCCTTCATTACTAACAACATTTTGATGGGGATCTGATAGACTCAGTATTTCTGGTGACCGTATGAGTTAGAGTAGTGTGTCTAAACACAAAATAAAGTTCACTCGAAACGGATTGGGAAGCAAAACATTTTCATGGTTTGTCACTCTCACACGCCCACATGAGTTAGAACTGAGTGTTCAGGCATGGTGCAGAATCCAAGCTTGAAATGAATTCGAAGTGTCCAGGCATGGTGCAGAATCCAATCCCGAAATAAATTGGAAATCATGACACAATCATTGATAAGTCTCTAAACCACACATACTCGTACATGTTAAAGTCGCATGCGTCCAGATACACTACATAGTTCAATTCTTAGACGAATTGAAATGCATGATGTGATCGCTAAATAAATCTTCGAGCCGCAAGTCGTTCAAATCACCACGCATCAAGTTGAATGTCCTGCTGCGCCACATAGATGGCCCTGTTGGGGTACCAGTTTTGACAGCCTCTTTTGTTGCGGCGGCATCTAGCTCTCACAAAAGTACTGTGCCAACAGCTAGCACCAGCTACGCTTACCAGCTGAACGGACCCAATATGTTTACTAAGAGTACCAATAAATAAGGCAACTGTGAATCTTTGTTTTAAAATAATTGACAACTTTAAATTTACTGTTCACAGTTTGACTAACAATGTTTGTTTAGATAGGAGTACTTAGTTAAGCCAAGTGAGCAATGTATCATTGGATTTTATTCATAAATATGTCATATGTTTTTGCCTATTTGTATAAATATTCACATGAAAAACAAACAACCAAACGTTCCATAGTAAAGTAAAAAGTGAGAGGGTTAATAGTAGTTAATAGTACTGTACATCGTGTAACAGACGGTCTATCGTTGGAGAGTATCAAGGGCATGCACATGCAACAAACGGTCTACCGTTGGAACAAGAACAAGAACATGCCAAAAATCACCGCACGGTACTATGGTAGCACGAGGGCAGGTGCAGGTGCATACACGCACGAGATAAACGAGCTTTTGCCATCGCCGCCACCTTGCTTGGCCAACCGACGGACGGCCATGTGCCGGCGACAGCCTGCTGTGGACGGCTCAGACCAGCGGCGGAGCCACCGCCCGGCCACCCGGGTGGCCGGCCGGGCTCAGCGCTGAAGTTTTAAAATGGATTTTTTTTTATATTAAAGTAGAACTGGTAATTTTTTAGCTAAATATGTTTGCATAATAAAAATAGGCCGGGCTCGTAAAGACTTCTGGCTCCACGAGTGGCTCAGACCATACCCTGCGAGGCTACCCGCTACCACAGGTGTGCCCTGTGTACACCTGTTACAAAATTGACCAGTAGGCAGTAGCCAGTCGTACTAAACCCTTGGACCCATACGGATAAGGGATAAACTCACTTCCAATTCAAGACCAGGGGTAAATTTCATTCTGATTGTTTTTCTCGGTTTTAATATTTTCAATTTTTTTGTGAAATCTAAGTGACTGTTCGGCTGCAGCTACATTACTTTGTGATCCGTGGGGATAAGACAGCCCCGGGCATTGTGTTTAAGAAAAAGATCTTCTCGCACAGATCAAGAAAACCCTCGAACCCTCTGTCCCAGCTGGACCGGCCTTAGACTTGTGCTTTAGCGTGGGCAGACGAGGAGATTTTTTCGCCTCTGGGCGACAAATTCACCCCCGTGGGGGATCGAACTCTGGCCACAAAGGTGCAACGCGGTAGCAGCTAGCCGACTGGTCTAGCGTCCACTTGCAAGAGGAGAATAAGCCATAGCCACATACCCTTAAACACTACATGATTCTAAGTCCTCAAAATTCAGATGATCGTTTTTTCTAATTTAGCTATTTCTTTAGTGGTAAGTGGCATCTATATTGACATGCAAGACATTTACATTGACTTTTTTAAATTCAAGATATGTTAGCACAATTTTTTTACTCAGTGAGTAGGTGCTTATAGAAACAAGAGTAGATTGCGAGTACATGTAGGTGTGAGAGCATCTATGTTTTCGCTGTTTTGGGAGAAATTTTTGAAGTGTATCGAAAATGACTCAGTGAGTATATTTTTCAATCAGTTAAATTGTGAACCACATGGGTAGGTGCTGCCATTTGTAGCAGCAAGGAGCGAATGTATTTATTTTCTTGTGTTTTAGATGACAAGGCCGGCAAAGCACTTTTTTTCTTACAGGTTGAGATATTTGGTGATCACTTGTGTCATTTGTGGCTTTGTTGTTTTTATTGTTCAACTCTATAGAGCTTTGCTGTTTCATTATATACTCAGTCTACTCTCTCCGTCCTAGAAAAAATACAATTCTAGCACAGTGTCACATTTTAGTACCTTAAGTTTGACCAGTTATAGATAAAAATGTATCAATATTTATGATGTCAAATAAATACCATTAGATTAATTATGAAATATATTTTTATAATAAATTAATTTGGAGTCATAAATGTGAATACCATTTACTAGAAACTTGATCAAACATGAACCACTTTATATGGCACGCAACCCATAGTTGTATTCTTTTTAGTACGGAGTTAGTAGGTTTCTTCTTGTTTTATATATAATTGGCAACTTTATTGTTTGATTTATTTTAAAATTGTAGTATATTGTGGGCCCAAAAACCTAGATATGGTAAAAACATCATGGTGCGATGTTAAAGGCCTGTTTAGATCTCATTCCATAAGTGAGATTCTGGATTTCAGGTAGTGAATATAGAATCTGGATAAAAGAAAAGGAGTTAAATACATGAGTTGTCCCTGAACTTGTCAGCATTTAACAAGTTTAGAAACTGCAATGCACCACTTAACAAGTTTAGAGAACTAGAAATGCATTTTCAAGTTTCGTGGACCTAAGCAGTACCCCTTGACAAGTTCAAGAGTTGTTCATGATGAGGGGTTTTCGGATCTCATTCTCATAGTGATTACTCCAAATAATCGGTTTAGGATAGATAATAGAATTCTAGAATCTCATTTTGGAGTTTAAGTGTTTGGATCTTTTTCTTATTTTTCTAACTCGTTTTTATTCTTCTTAGGAGATCCGAACGTCTAGAGATGGGACTCTAAAAGACAAAAAAAACACCCAAAAAGGTTTCAGAAAACTCTTGATAGCGCCGTTGGACAAGAAAAATGATATTAATTCATTCAAAGGTAAAACGTACTCTCATCACCACCTAACGAAATGTGACCTGTAATTTGAGGCTCAGGCGGCAATGCTAAATGTGACGACAAGTTTGCTCCATGTGTTAGGATCGAT